TTGATTATAATAAAATTCTATTCACCAATCGATAGACTCATAACGATTGTAAACAATGTTTTTTTTTTAATTTGGGTTTAACAAATTCGTAAAAAAAAAAAAAAAAAATAATTAAGACATGCGTGTCCGTCAACCTTAAACAATAATCTTTGTCAATTTTATTTTTCAGTCTTTATGATGGTCGATACTTGATCTATCTCTTACTGTTACATCCCAGGCAACGCTGGGCTCTACTGCTAGTCTATAAATATATATATATATATATATATATATATATATATATATATATATATATATATATATATATATATATATATATATATATATATATATATATATATATATATATATATATATATATATATATATATATATATATATTAAAATGGATAAAATCCGACAATTTATTTATTAAAGACATTTTTTTATGTTTAACGTTCTTTTTTTTATAGATACAAGTATTAAAGTAAATGCTCTGTTTATAATAAACAGTATTAAATAACATTTACCGGCCTGAATGTCCGAGAAATTTTCATAGAAAATATTCGTCCTGCATCCTATACGGAACCGTCATTTACGCTGACGTGCCTTACCGTCTCGGACACAAAGGAGCGTTCGGTAGGCAAGGTCGAATTTACTGCTTATAAACTTTTTTTATTAATATATATATATATGTGTGTGTATGTGCGAATATATAGAAAAATAGGAAAAAACACGTTAGGTAAATAATCCGAAGTTCTTTAGTACTTTTGTTATTATTTTTAAAAAACAGTCCTCAATACAAAAGTAGAGCCTAAATTATTATTATTATTATTATTATTATTATTATTATTATTATTATATATATATGTATGTATGTATGTATATAGATAGATAGATAGAGAGATAGATATATATATGTATATATATATATATATATATATATATATATATATATATATGTATATATATATATATATATATATATATATATATATATATATATATGTGAAAATATATAGAAAATATGAAAGAGACCTCTTATATCGCGAGATGGAATCATATTTTTAATAAATAATTATATATATATATATATATATATATATATATATATATATATATATATATATATATATATACATACATACATACATACATATATATATATATATATATATATATATATATATATATATATATATATATATATATAAACCCAAAGGCGGTTGACTGTCAGCACTGACAACATTCCGGCAACATCTGCAGCCGAGACATCCCAAGTAATGTCGTGTATTCCTTTGGATCTTGTCATTACGGTGCACAGCCTCCATATAGCTTGAGGTCACTCCAGTTTCATCATCAAAGGACTGAATTTTGACCAGACATGGCGTTACATTTATCTTGCGAAATAGATGCATGCCTACTATATAGATATTTGGGAAAACATATGACAAAGTGGAAAAAGTTTTCGCTTGACGCGAAAGTGATTTTTCTGTTGATGAAGGAAAGGTGACGCTGAGTATTTTAAATCTATATTTTTTTAACTATATGATTTGGGTATATAGTCTAACCGGTTATATTTATTTTCTTTTTTGCCTATGTTACCATCACTTTGTAATTAAATATCCCATGTTGTGATAACAGAATAAAGGTAAAGAAGCTGGACGAAAATTTACATGCACTTTCTTTATATTTCCGTCTTAGTTAATAGCTTTCTTTTTTTCTAATTAGAGTAGAATATTTTTAAGTAACAGCCAGGCGACTCGCACATATAGTATTGTGGCTTCTGCAGAACTAAGCAGACATTTTGGAAGAGCCGAATACAGAGCTCTGGGTGCAGATAGTGTGATACAAGGCCTACAAATGGCCCGCCTCAGGTTTTGAATTCAGACTCGTCCTTCTTCTAATTCGGTTGCAATCCAAGTTTTCCGCAATTCCTTCTGTTGGCTGTAAAAATCGGGTCATTTATGTATTATTTATTGTATATAATTATCTTTCACTTTCTTTTGATTTACTCTGTGGTCTATGGCGACAACGGAATCTGAAAGATTTTATTTTTATTTCCTCCATCCGGATCTCGTTTTGCTGATCTCGACTGGGTTATCCTTTTATTATTATTATTATTATTATTATTATTATTATTATATGTGGTATCATTTTGCCGGAGAGTAATTTTAAGTGCCTAAATACCACGCCCCATCCGGGGTTTATGCGTATAAATGGCAGTATAGAAGTGTTATCTCTGCAAAATTTGAACGTTTCATTCAAACAGAGAGTCTTGCGGATGATATGTGAAATTCAACACAAAATAATCTTTTATAACACTGATGTCTGCAGGAATGCTACTCACATAGTTTTTGGTACCCTTTTTTATCGTACCCAATGACAATTTCACAACAGGGATAATTGTTGTTTTAATTTTACACATTTTTCTTACTTTGATTTGCAGGTTATAAAGATTTTACCGTTCTTGAAATACTTTTCTATAAACACTGGAATACTGTGGGCAAGTAATATCAATTAGTTGTCAGGTTCCTTTATTGAAATCTTTTATAACTATGTCTGGTCTATTTGTATCAAATTTCCTGCCTGTGAAGATTGGGAAATTCCATAGTATAGTCACTCCATCACCATTTGCGACTTCATTCTGGTGATGTTTGTCCCATGTAACCACGACTTCAATACCATAATTCGAACAGATATGCCAATGATTATATTGCCATAGCCTGTTTTGTGTAACAATGTATCATTTATCAGCAAGTACTGGGCACATTGATACTATGTGATTAACAGTTTAATTAGATTTATGGCATAAGCGACAGGCGGAATTTGATTTATTATTATTTTTACTTGTGTATGTTATATTTCCTGCTTTTTATCCGGGTCCAAACTATGGTCCTTAGGCCCTATAGGAGAATTATCATTTAATTGATAGCACTTTTCTTAGTATATGGGATGTTCCTTGTAGGGTGATTTTCTGGGAAATTTTTATGTTTATGTTACCTGGGATACTGTTAGTAAAATAGTGCTTTCATTTTCTCACGTGCCCAGAGCTCCGAATACTATTGGTTCAGTCCCAGTCTTTATTCCCTACATCCTGTTAATCTCCATCTTCAGGTTATTGTATTTGGACAATTTCTCGATATTTTTTCATGGAGGTGTTTTTCTAAGATAGTACTGCTATGTCAGCAAGCATACACTTCCTGAATGTCTTGTCTTTTATGATAATATGAGGTCGGTTGGTTTATATTTTACTAACTGTTTGAATTGGCATGTCCCACAGGATAGTTACATCGTTATTTTGGGTAACTGTGTCTGGTTGGTGCTCATACCATTTCTCAGTGGTTTCTACTTCCTGTATCTTGCATATCTTTCAGTGCACATATGTCGTTATCTTGTTATGTCTGTGCGTATATTCATTTCTTTCTAGTTCCGGACATCTTGAGATAATATGGTCGACGGTTTCATCATAGTTTTCGTAGATCCTGCATTTCGGGTTAGTTCCATCCTTGATTTAGGATCTAGTTGCGAGTCTTTGGTTCTGAGCTGCAATAATTTGGCCTTCTTTCTCAATTTTCAACCCGGTGCTCCTCAGCCACTGATATGTTTTCTCTTGATCCACATCTGGTTCTTTCGTTCTTAACACCTTGTCCTCCCAGTTTTTTTTTTTTTTTTTTCATTTGGCCAAGTTGTTTTGCTTTCTGTTTTAATCTTTTGGCGTAGATGGTAATCGCTTCGTTTTTTTTTGTTGGTAGGATTTCAGATATATTAATCTGTTTCTTGAAGAGTGTAGCTTCTTTGTTGATGTAGTGGATTTAGTGTTTTAGTATTTGTAGGAGAGCTTCATTGTTTTTTGTGAGATAGGCTTCCAATACGTTTGCTATTGTTTTTAGAGTTAGTTCAAGTTGCATTAGACCTCAGCCTGCTAATGCTCTGAGTACGTACAACCTATCAACATCTGATTTCGGGAGGGGCATCCTCATGTAAGTACGCATTTTTCTCGTCCAGGCGTCCAATCTTTTAATGTCATTATACTCCTATTTAATAATGATGAAGCTGTATGTTACTACGGCTACAGGTAATGTGTTTTATGCCCTTCATTTTATTGGCCCAATTTAGTTCGGCTTCTAGTATTAAATACACTTTCCTATAATGTTCTTTTTGCATCTTTTTTTCATAATTGAATGCTGTATTCTGTTTCCTTCTTTAATTTCTAAGTATTTGTATGTATCATCTTGGTTTATTTCCTTAATTTTTGTTGAAACTTGACTAATGCATGGAATAATAATGCAACACAAATGTACTTAGAACAAAATGTATTGAAACAAGAAAATGTACACAATATTTACATGTAGTCTTTTGTATATTCCTGGTAAAACCGTTCCTGGAGAATGTGTTGACTGAGTCGCAGTCGGGCAGAGTCTCTGGTTGAATCTCTTGATTCCTCCATCTCTTCCCGGTACCAACCATATTTATATGGTCGGTACTCCACTATGCAAATTAGGTGGATCCTACCACAACAATTTTGTTGTTGATATTAAAGTAGGGACTGGTTTGGAGGCGCCATACCATGATGGACCATCACCTTCAGGGGGCTAGGCCTCCTCTTGCTATTTTCTATTTTTTTGCGATTGCTATTAGGAAAAACAACGGTAAATCTTCGTTTATAAGCGTTTAAATCTCAAGACACGACGTGCTTCAACAAACTCCGACATGACATTTCAACGGAATTTTCTTTGGCTTTTTCTATCTTATGTTCAATAATGCAAAACTATATTCGAATCTCCCTAATCATGTTGTTACACGAATATGTTTTATCCATAAATACAATTAATATATAGTTACTAATAATATTTTAAGAAAAGTTTATTATAAGTGTCCGTATTGTATAACTTATACAATAAACATTGTATATAATTTACTAATAAATAAATAAATAATAAAAGAACATTATAATAACCGAGAAGTCACCATCACGACAATCAACATTACCACAATCAACAACACCCCCATTATCACAGTAACAACCACTACTATTACTACTACTATTGCATCCCTCTTTGTTTCTCTTTCTTTTCCCTATCTATCTATCTATCTATCTATCTATCTATCTATCTATCTATCTATCTATCTATCTCACTCCGACATCTATCTATCTATCTATGTATCTATCTATCTATCTATCTAATACTAAAAGTCTGTGAATCGTGCGTACGTCGACTGTCGGGGGCATAATAATTTAAATTTCTGATATAACGGAATATGCATACACCTGAGTTCCCCCTGACTGGGATATGATTGGCTGGTGTCCGTCATAAATACAGATGGACTGTGTAGGTACGACAGAGTTTAAGTCTATGACGACGCCCATTGGACTACGCCATTGGCTATTCTATTGGTCTACACCGATTACCTGCGACTACGACGCGTACCAGTCGATTACTGATACCGTGTATTACTTGGTTACAGTAACCAAAACCACTTAGCTACTTCGATCAATATATATCCCTTTCCGGGACATATCAGTTTCTCTACACCACTCACTTTCCATCTCTATCTTTTCAGCTCTCTCTTTCTATCTCTCTCTCTTTTCAGCTATCTCTCTCTCTCTTTCCATCTCTCTCTCTTTTCAGCTCTCTTTCTCCCTTTCCATCTCTCTCTCTTTTCAGCTCTCTCTCTCTTTCCATCTCTCTCTCTTTTCAGCTCTCTCTCTCTCTTTCCATCTCTCTCTCTTTTCAGCTCTCTCTCTCTTTCCATCTCTCTCTCTTTTCAGCTCTCTTTCTCCCTTTCCATCTGTCTCTCTCTCTTTCAGCTCTCTCTCTCTTTCCATCTCTCTCTCTTTTCAGCTCTCTCTCTCTTTTTCCATTTCTCTCTTTTCAGCTCTCTCTCTCTCTTTCCATTTCTCTCTTTTTTCAGCTCTCTCTCTTTTTCCATCTCTCTCTGTTTTCAGCTCTCTCTCTCTTTCCATCTCTCTCTCTTTTCAGTTCTGTCTCTTTCCATCTTTTTGTGATTGCGTGATTTCTGTTTTCATTAAACAAAGAATATTTTAAATATTAAAACCCCAAAAAACGACTTATTTAAAAAGAAAAAAAAACTTTTCCAAATGAATATGATTTTAAAATATTTCTTGGCATATTAAAAATACTTTAAATTATTCTGAATTTAAAAAAAAATACATTCTAAGTTAATAAGTTTACAAAATATAATTATTATTTTTATTTTCTTTGATTTCTGGCGTTTACACATTTCTTTCCGGGTCCCGCCTAGGGACCTAAGGTTAGAAATGGCATCATGACACTTTCCACTGACAAAAAAAAAAAAAAAAAAATTACATAGATAAAGCCCTTCGTAAAGTGTGGGCTGTACTTGTCAGAACAATTTTTTCTATCTCCTTGAGGCATGGACTTCCAGGAATCCCTTCAATTAGTCTACTGCAATCTTTTCCAATCAGTTCTAGGGTTCTAACTACAACAGGGATTGTTGATGTTCCCATGTGCCACATTTTCGAGATTTCTATTTTAAGGTCCTTGTATTTTGACAACTTTTTCAAAGATATATTGCAGTCTGCAGGGACTGCCATATCAATAAGGAGGCACCGTTTTTGTTTGTGGTCTTTAATAACAATATCTGGGCGGTTGGCCTTGATTGTTCTGTCAGTGTGTATTTTGTAGTCCCATAGAATTGTAACAGGTCTTATCTCTATAACCGGTATGTTCATACCAATTTCTTTCAGTTTTCTTCCTGTAGAAGTTGCAGATTTTCCAGTGCAGATATTGGCCCACTCTGTCATGCCGAGTTTTATTATTATTATTATTATTATTATTATTATTATTTTCTTTTGATTTCTATTTAGTACAAACCATCATGAGATCATTACGCGAGATTTAGGATAAGAGAAGGTAATAAATACATGTATTCTGTATTTCATAAATTCTGACGTGAGGGGAGACATTGTACATTGTTTCTACTTTCTTTATATTGGTGATGCTCTATTATTATTATTATTGATGTTGTTGTTGTTGTTGTTTTTGCTGCTGCTGTTGTTGTTGTTGTTAAGTGAATAACACAAAAAGAAACTGATGCTGTGATAGAAATATACGAATCCCAGTATGCCGATCAGAAGATTGGTGTTGGATTTTCTCGTATTTTTCAATTTCTGGTAAAGATCGGATATTTTACAAGCTGTGTCATTTCTTTAAATCTGAAGTCAACTTGCACAGCAACAGATGGTTGTACTTGGGAAAGATAATCGAGTGGTTTCTCTTTATATTCTCCACAGCTTTGAATTCACGTTTGTCTTCGTCTTAGTCTGGTTGCCATAATTCTATACCCTTATCCAGAGCGACACGTCATGGATTTATACGAAGTGAATACAAACTGCTCAAAGCAGAATTTGAATTTGGATCGCTATTTCCATTTTTTTTTTCTCTTCGAAACTGTTTATCATATTACTGTTGTTGTGAATGGGAAATTCTTTTACACGCATTTTTTCAATCTCACCACAAGTAGAAATTCTTTCTTTTACTCTACCTAGCATTAATTATCTGGTCAGATTTTTTAATAAATGTAAGACACCGAAGAGTCCTGCGACAAATTAAAACAAAATGAGAGCCGAAACCTTTTAAAGTGAAATACACAATTTAGCTGAGGGCTCGCATGAAATAAAAGAAAGAAAAAGAAAATATTGCCATGACTGAATAATGATGCTATGAATTCATTCAAATATAAAATGGTCAAAAATTATCACAAAAAATGCATCTGTTTACTATAATTTCTGTTGTGTTTTATATTTATTTTATATTTTTGCTTTTTTATTTTTGCATTTTCTCCTTATCCATTGAAATTGTTTTTTGATTCTGTTTTTTCTCGGTTTTCATTAAAATATATTTCTTTATTTCTTTTCTCTCGATCGTTTTTTTCTTTTTTCGTTCAAATCTTTGTTCTTTCTTTCTCTTCTCTAGATCGCTTCTTTCTTTTTTCTTTCAAATCTTTGTTCTTTTTTTCTCCTCTTTTTGTTCCTTCTTTCTATACGTTCATTTTTTTTATCTATTCGTTAATTTTTTGGTCATTCCTTCCTATTCACGTTATTGCTTATCATTTTTTGTTTAGTTAAAATGTTTGTTCTTTCTTTCTCTGCTTTTAATATCTCTCTTTTTTTCTTTTCATTAGAACATATTTTCTTGCTTCCTTTTGCCTCAATATTTCTTTAATTTTTTCTTTTACACCTTTTTTTTATTTCTATCTCTCCTTTTACTTTCTTCTTTTCCCTTAAACTCTTCTTCACTTTTTAATTTTGACTTTTTGTTAAAATCTTTCTTTCTTTCTCTTCACATACTTGCGTCTTCGATTTTTCTTTTCCTTCAAAGCATTCTTTACATCTTTTGTTTTAATTCCGTCTTTCTTTCTTTCTTTCTTTCTTTCTTTCTTTCTTTCTTTCTTTCTTCTTTTCATTCACCTTTGAAGAATGGTAAGAACATATAATGATAAATTTGACACCAGAGATTTTTTTCTGAGAATTTCCCTTTAGAATCAAAAAGATGGATAACCTCCTTCAAAAAATTCCATATCTTCACCTAAGTGAATGCCATAGCGCGCGCGCGCACGCACACACACACACACACACACACACACACACACACACACACACACACACACACACACACACACACACACACACACAGACGTAACCGCAGGATCATATTTATACTGTGTAATAAAATTATGGGGTTGCAACAAATCCCAGTTGTTGTAAACTTAATGCAATTCTTCAACTGAATTTTGTCTTTAAGTTTCTTGTTTTCAGTGTTAGACCTCCATTCAATGCTACAAATTTTATACTTTTTATTTTCCATATTCTCGTCTATCTGTTTTTCGTCAATCTTTTTGCGCCATTTTCTCTTTTTTGTTTTCTTTCTTGATCTCATTTTTTTTATTCATTCTTATTTTCTCTTATCTTTCAAATATTCCATTCTCAGTTCAAATTATTCCTGAAATTCCACCCCCACCACGCCCTTATTCCTTGGTGAGGCGCGATTGATCCATATTCGAAAACGCACCTCCAAATCCAGCTTTTATCAATTCTCCATTTAGTCAATGGTTTAATATCGGGTGTAAGTTCCAGATAAATTTATTACTTATGAATGTCACCTATTTTTTTTTTCTTTTTCGAAGCAAAATAATTTCTTCAGCAATGGCAACTGACGCCGATCCTCACTGGGAATTAAAATATGACTTTGTTTCAGACTAAATTTTTCCATTTCTTTTGAAGTCAGCAGCAGAGTAATGGTGAGCGAGCTATATTTCAAGACATCGTTATTGAGTTCGATCCTCAAAAGTGGTTACTTTCTTTACTCTAGTATTTGCTGTGGAGCATTTTTCAACATGATCGCTTTGGGGGTTAACGTGTTCAATTCTCACTGAATGCAATATTGTAATATTTGGCTTTATAAGGCTAACATCTCTTGTTTAATAACTTACAATAGCTAGTAAGGATAGTTCACTATTTTGACCTTATGTCAGACATTAGCCATTTTAGTAAATATTATCATTATTAAGAAGATAATAATAATAATAATAATAATAACCAACGGCCCAGACATTGTTATTAAAGACCACAAAACAAAACAAAAAAGTGCCTCCTTATCGATATGGCAGTCCCTGCAGACTGCAATGTATCATTGAAGATATTCAAAAAGTTGTCAAAATACAAGGACCTTGAAATAGAAATCTCAGAAATGTGGCATATGGGAACATCAACAATCACTGTTGTAGTTGGAGCCCTAGGTTAGGTTGGAAAAGATTGCAGTAGACTAATTGAAGGGATTCCTGGAAGTCCATGCCTCAAGGAGATACAAAAAATTGTTCTGACAAGTACAGCCCACACTTTACGAAGGGCTTTATCTATGTAATTTTTTTTTTTTTTTTGTCAGTGGAAAGTGTCATGATGACATTTCTAACCTTAGGTCCCTGGGCGGGACCCGGAAAGAAATGTGTAAACGCCAGAAATCAAAGGAAATAATAATAATAATAATAATAATAATAATAATAATAATAATTATAATAATTTTCCTTAATTTCATTTCAGTTTCCGACCGTGCTCTGAGAAGGATAAACTAAAACCTGTAGCCATTCTCGTTCTTTTCGAATTGTCATTTACGGTAGTTACGTAGTTTTCCTGTTTGTCTTTTGCTATTCGATACAAAATATCTGATTTATTGGCTATAATGAAATGTTGTTCACTAAGAAAATATTTAAATATATACATTTGTTTCTACTTATCTGCGATGATATATTCCAGAGGTTGTATGAAACGACGAACAGTACCGAGTTTTATATATATATATATATATATTGTCTTATGTAAACATCCCTACGATAATGTTTGCTTTACAAATTATACAAAATAAGATATTAACTAAACAATGATAAAATAAAACAAATATAACAATCTGTAGTCATAAAAGTTATGGGACACATACCGTTGCTTTTTGCAATTTCAGCATAACTAAAATACCGGAAGTGAAGCCGCAGATTCAAAGGAAAAAGAAAACAAAAAAAAATTCCTTTTCTTCTTTATTTATTTCTTATTCTTCAACTCTTTTTTATATTCATTTCCTTTTTTGAAAGCTTTTCTTCTTTTTCTTTTCCCGCTATTTTATTTCTCTGATTTCTTCTTTTCTACTTCTGCTTCTTTTTTTTTTATTTCATCGTTCTTTTTTTTTTTTTTTTCTATTTCTTTTTCTTGACATCGCCATTATTACTCCGCCATTTTCTTTTTTCTTTTTTGTTCCAGTCATACATTCTCTTATCTTTGAAAGTTTATTTTCTTTAACTTCTCTCTTTCTTCCAGCGGGGTTATTTTCTCTTTTTTCCTTTTGTTTTTCTATTTCTTTTCTACTTTCCTTTTCTTTTTTTACTTTTTTTTCTCTTTCCTTCTTGTCTTCCTCGTAACGATTTCAATTAATAATCGCGTTAATTTCGTAATTAAAGCCAATTAACTGAACAAGTTGCTATATCCTTGTGTAATTTTCCTGTTTCATCACTTCTCACTCTGGGGACCAATTTACGCAGTCAACCAATAATAACTGAACCCTTTATGCAATTCGCCCTACCCTGAAATTTTATATTTATTTTTCGATTGCAAAAATTTTTTTTTGCGTCTTCTAAAATTTCCGATTTTCCACCGACCGTTCATCGCCCAAAATCCCTTTCCCCACACTTTTATCCCCCCCCCCCAATAATCGTTTCATTTTCTCAACAGTATTAAAAATATTTTAATTAAGATTTCCAGCTACTTTGACCCTAGAAATATTGCTAAGCCGAAAGCAGACAGAGTATCATCATTTGAATCTGCTCTCAAAATAGGACAAATTATATTTTTAATTGCGAGATTTTTCTTTGCAAAAACACTTTTTTGATCAATTCTTGTTAATTAATTCATTTAGATTATTTCAAAAGATTTTTCTTCTCCGTTTGTTCGATTTCCCATAATATAGAATTCAATAAAGTCTGCAAATTAGAAAATTCAAATTTGCATTTGCAAACGATACAATGTCTAGATCGAAAATAATCATCATTAAGAAAAAAAAAATTATTTTATAGAATTAAAATTCTTCGTTTCTGTTTCTAAAAATGCTTTTCAGCATTAGTTCATATCAAGATTTGAATACACGGTCCTGAATCTTTTTGAAGAACATCAAATTAGCGTATAATCTAGGGATACAACGCTGGATTTTTAAAAATATCTTTTCCCCGGGTCAGTAGGAGTTAGACATTTGCAGTTGTTTCCTATCCAAGAAACATCGGTCGCACTCTACTAACAGGAACTGGTAATCATTAACGATCTGAAGTATTGCACGAAGTCGATTCGTGTCATTCATGATCGTATACTGTGAAGTGGACACAACTTTAGTCGTAATTCGAACTTCAGTTGCTGATTTTATCTACCATACTCTTAACCATCCATCATAAAAAAACAAACACGTCATTTGTTTTTACTAAAATTCACAGAATACAAGTCCAAAGAGACACCCAAGATAGATGATAACTGGTGTGTAATAGTAAAGGAAGAGGTTGAAGTTTTTTTTTTATGTCTCCATACGGAATGAAAAAATCATTTGAAGTGGAATGTCCTTAAGAAAGGAATACAGGGTAAGCGTGATTCAACTCGGAGGAGTTAGCAAGGCGGTTCTTGCCTGTAACGGTCTGAGCTGGTGTCACTAAAGAATGGAGCGTGTCAGAACTTTTGACATGGAAGTAGCGATATAGTAGTATAGTTGCGTCTGTAGGAAAAGGTCTGTAGTAAGTCATTACTCAAATGGCCGCGTAGACTATTTGGAATTCTGTAAAGGCTGGAAATTGAGGATTGATCAGCTCCAACCCTTTGGTCTGATCTGATTACTATAAAGATAAAGCATGGTAGGTGGTGTCAGGTACATTTTGCTGCCGTTCAAAGACATGACCATGTTTTCAGCGTCTTTAGCGATTGTGCTTTTATATGAGTTTGAATTGAAGTATGTAGTGATCCCGAGTTCCAATAGACCAGTGATTTTTTTTTCTCTGGGACACATTTTCCGAATGAAAATTTTATCGCATCTCACCAAATTCTATGTGATAAAAAGTCCATTTAAAAAAAAGATTGAGGGCTAAAGGGAGATAACCATGGATTCGATGTTAGAACATTATCATTGATAACTCTTACTTCTAATTTACGGACTCTAGTTATTATATTCTTAATACTTGATAAAATGCAACATATCACAATGATAAAATCGGTCAATAATTATTTTATAACTGTTTATTGTGGGACTTATGCATGCAATTACAAGTAATCAATAATAATATTTAAAATTTGGAAATCATATTTATTTTTGGCATATCAATTTTTGAAACTGCTTCTAAATCTTCGATTGTCTCTCATTCAATCTGAGGCGAATGAAGAAAACAGTAACCAGCGAGTTAATTCAAGCTCTCCCAACTGGTATTTCAAACTTGAGTCGTTCCTTCCTGAGTTCTGTCTCCAAATCACACTAACTGCCCGTTCTAGCCGTCAACCGTGAACGTCCCTCGAAGAACTCGCCGACTTGGAAAAAAGTAGTTGTTTTTATAGTTGTTCATGTACCCATAATCCCTTGCGTCTTCCTGTGATCCCATAATTCATTGCGTCCATGTCCCATAATGCATTGCGTCCATGTCCCATAATGCATTGCATCGTTATTGGATAAAAATGCGATGCCAGTCCCCCTCATTCTTTTACATTATCTGGCCGAGGATGGATTACGTCAGAGCGGTAAGTGCTTTTTTTCTCCCTCATTTCAACTGCAGTAACTTTACATGCTAAGCAAATACGGGCTCTTTTTGGCGGGGACAAGGCAAGTCGCGACCAGTTGTGCTTGTCCCAGGTTCTGTCTCATGTCCGCCACACTCACCTGCTATCCTCTTCTGCCGCACCTATGAGCCGCGCCAAACATGAGCCGCGCCGCACCTATGAGCCGCGCCAAACATGAGCCGCGCCACACTTATGAGCCGCGCCACACTTATGAGCCGCGCCGCACCTATGAGCCGCGCCAAACAGGAGCCGCGCCGCACTTATGAGACGTTCAAAGCAAGAAGTTTCATTGAGAGTAGCACCGTTCATCATTACTGGAGAAAATTCAGGGTCTGTTAGGTGATGATTAACCATTATAATGCTTTTGGAGGCATTGAAAGAAAAAATAATTTTTTTCCCATTGAATTGTTTGAGCTAAGTCAGTGGGAATATCAGCTTCCAAGGTCCGTGGTATTTACCAACGATCTGGGGATGCTCATAGGCAGATCACTAATAGAAAACAGAAAGAGAGTATGGCCAAGAAAAAACCTTCAGGGATGTTTATATGGATGCCATGGACTTCAGAAGACTGTCCATTACCAAGGACCATCATGAACCAGAATAATCGAAAGAGCTTGATAACTGTGAAGGGTCTTCCAGAGATGCCATATCCGGAGAGGTTTTGTAGCAGGACCCTACGCAGCATCTTGTCAAATGCCTTTGAGATATGTAGGGCAATCCATTTGATGATGTTAGTATGGAACGTTTCACTAATTCAGTGTGTAATGATTATTTAAACATAAGTAGTGGCCTTAGAGGAATTAAATCCATACTGTTCGTCGTTTAGCAGTCTGTTTCTGTTGAGGTGATCAAAATCGTTGACAAGAGACGCAAAATGTTTGCTGATGACACTAAGCAGTAAAAATGGTTCAGTTATAACATATTTAGTATTGGTGATAAAGATATTGAATACAAAAATGTGGCGCTATGATTAATTTTGTCTAACGTTGTAAGAGACTATATAATACAAAATATTAACCTGCAAATTTGATATATTAAAAAGACCCGTCATATATAGATTCAAGTGGATGTCAAAAACAGCTTCAGTCATGGATTCTAACTAGTTCAGAAATGCACAAGCTTTTAGCTATGTAGAGCTGTTTTCTGATGTTATTGATTACAAAAAACTCCAGTCGAATGAATCATTTTGATGTCTAAAGAAGACAAAACTCCAGACCCTGTAGACAGGCGATACAAAATAAAAAATAATAATTTTACGAAATAAAAAAATGATTTAAGACATTCAGTAGCAGCAACATCGAAAACGTGTAGCACATGCAAATAAGAGAGAAAATAATGACATAATAGATATGTGGACGTTCCACACTACTTCAAACTAAAGGTTAGGAAGGAAACTTCCATCGGGACTAGATGGAGCGTTAACTGTATGGTGACTTGAAAAGTTTAATTTCTTGAAAAAAATCTGTCTATATTTCTGTGATGAGGTATTATGTACACTATTTACATTGTTCGGACTATAGTTCTCATTTTTGTTTACTCTTGCTCCAACTCTCTATAACCCCTTGCGTGATAGTGGCATTCCCGCCTTGCTTGGGTGAAATGCTTAAAAAAAACCCCAAAAAACTTACACATTTCAAGCCACTTACTAAAGCTATCCACTACCACAGGATAATGTGTTCCGTTTATTGGACCTGCGAAATTTATGTGCAATCTTGACGATGGAATATCTGTTTTTAGCTAAGTTTGTAATTTTGTGATGGGTAATTTTGATGTCAGAGAAAAACCTCTGCAGTTTTTTACTAATTTTTCAATGTCTTGATTCACTTCATTCAAATTTGAAATTCCCGGATGTCCACTATGAAATTCATTTAATATACGCTTTTGTATTATGCTAGGCATTTGTGCAAACATCAATACTAATGATAAATAGTTTGCTAGTCCCAGAAATGCTTGTAATCTAGTAATGTTTGTTGGAGAAGGCATATTCTTAATTGCAATTGCGGATCTGATTGACGACCATTTTGTCAATGATTAGGTCCTTGATTTTAGGCAAAAACAGTTCGCACTTTTCCTCACTGAGTTTGAACGCGTACTCTCGCATTATTCCAAAAAGGCTTGTGATATTTTGTTCCATAGATACACTTTTAATTTATATATCATCCAGATGAGCAACTGCGAAATCTCAATCTGCAACTATAGTATTCATAGCTTGTTGAAACCTTGCTGGAGCCACTTTTATCCCAAAGGGATATCGGTTGAATTTATATAATCTCTTGTGCGTATTGATAGTTATAAACTCTGAATATTCTTCTTCAAGCTGTATTCGCAAATACGCTTCAAAAAGATCCAGCTTCGACAAAATTTTAACGACCATTTAAATTCGCAAATAATTTCCTCTGATCTTGGTAATTGGTAGTTGTGGGATTCTAAAGACTTGTTTAACTCTGTCAAAAGATCACTTATTATTTTTTCTTTACATACGCTGCAGTAGTTTCCGATTTTGAATGTTCAATCTTTTCAATTATACATATTTTTTCAAGTCTGTTTAATTCTTCGTTGGCTTGACCCGATGCTGTGAAAAATACACTATGTTTCGATTTAAACACTGATGTCAATCTTTTTT